GTGGCCATCGACAGTTAAGCGGTGTTCTTGTTTAGCTAAGAGCGCTGTTTGGCACTGTAGGAAAATCTCATGGAAACGCAGATTTCATTGAAGAGCCCAGCTCAAAACCCGTGGCACCAAATCCATGGATCCACTCAGAACTCACGTTTTTCGGTGGCAGGAGCTATGGTATCCTCATTGCACGTTGGCCACTGCGCCAGCTAAAACTTACCTCGGTAGAAGCTAGGATGGCAAACACGGGATGGTTTTGATGCAGTGGTGCCCCAGCCCACGATTTACGGTAACGGTTTTTGGACGGATGGTTTTCCTGGTCCGTGAGCATCGTTGACTGAGTCCACGCAGGGTCTCCTCCTACGAAGCCCCCTGGCAGCCCTCAGCGCGTCTCCGAAGAAACGAGAGGCAAGGCACGGCCGTCGGATCGTCGAGCCACATGTAAATTCATGCGAACCGTCGGATTGGAACGTGGAATGCATTGCGGCGTCTCTCGGCTCGCCTTGGCTGCACCATATAGTCTAGAGGTTGACCTGTCAACGACGCCAAAATCATTTCTTTCCCATTTCCCAACGTGGGCCGTGTGTGAATGCTTCTCCTCCCTTCTCTTGCCCCACTTATCCTTTTCTCCTCACCCAGCAACCGACCATTTTCTTTTGGTTTTGTTTTTCGAAATCCTTCCAGTACCCACGACCTCAGCGCGTTGACGATGGTCTTCCCCTAGCCTTGCTAGCTCACCCCCAATCTCACCACCGAGAGAAAGCCAGCGCAGCAAAGGAAACCCTACCGTCCATGTCATCCAGCACAGCCTGTTCGTGGAGTCCGCGCATGGACCAATACCAGCACAACCAGCAGCAACAACAGCAGCAGCAGCAGCAGCAACTTCAGCTGGCCTTGTTCCAGGAGCAACTCCTCTTGTCTCCAACCCACAGATCCCCTCACAGACCTCCCGTCAGCAACGACGCCTCTCGTCTGCCATTCCCACCCGCGCTAGATTTACCCTCCGCTGAGTTTTTTCCCGACGAGGCCTCTCCCTGCTGGATTTGGGCGCAGCAGCAGACAACCTTCGCAACGTCGTCGGCGCCAGCAATCCCCGCCGCAGGCTCCGCCGCGTTTGCCGCGCAAACAGGCCCAGCGCCAGCCATGGCGACGGCGGTGGCGACGCAAGCGACGTGGGAGACTGCTCCCGCCGCCAACTGCGGCGCAGCTAGCGCGTTCCGAACCGCACCGAACACCACCGCCGCACCCGCCGCTTCCGCTTCCTTCTGCTCCTCATCCGGCGTAACCTTCCCCACAGCCCCCGCTTCCCCTTCCTTCGCGACCACTCCTTCCGCCACTGCAGGCCTTGCGCCACCAGCTTCCGCCGCTTCCGCGCCTTCCGCCTACGCGCCTTCCGCCTCCGCGCCGTCCCCGCCTTCCCTCCCCGTGGCGCAGCTGGAGGAGCTCCTCCAGGACGAATGCGGAGTCCTCGAGATCTCCATCCCCCAGCGCCGCTTCCCCTCATCCTTCCCCCCATCCTTCCCCTCATCCGCGGGCGTGGGGAGCCTCGCGTCAACCCTCCCCACCGCGGGGACCCCCGCGGATCTGCGCGAGCAGGGGCTGCATCTATTCGCGAGCCTGCTTCCGCTTCTCTACACGCCGCGCTGCGCCGCCACCGCCGCCATCGCCGCGTCGCCCGCTGGCGAGGCGCTCAAGCGCGCGCTCGCGTCGTCGCCGACGGCTGCCGGCGTGTTCGAGGCGTTTGCCAGCCGGCCGCTGCCGTCCCCGCGCCGCTCGCGTCGCCGATGCTTTTCGAGCAGTTTCAGCAGCAGATGCAGCAATGGGCCGTGCCGCAGGTAGAGCAGCAGCCCGCGCCGCAGGTGAAGCAGCCCGAGCCGCAGGTGTCGGAGTCCGTCGCCGCGCCGCAGACGGATGAGGATATGGACGACGCGCTTCCGGAGATCGAGAGCCCGAACAGCGTCGACGTTTCGTCGCCCGACCGTGACTTTGACGAGAGTAGCCTTAACGAGAATGACTACAACGAGGTCGCGGATTCCGCCGCCATCCCCGCTGCCGCCGCCGCCGCCGCCGCCACTCCCGCCTCCTTTGCTGTTCCTATTCCGTCTCCGCCAACCGATCTACCCGCCGCTAGCGCTGTCGTCTCCGTCGCTATTCCTCTCGGCGCTCCCACCGCTACGACTGCCGCGAAGCCGGAACCAGCATCCTCGACGGAAGAACCTTCCGAGAAGGCGCAGAAGGCGCCCGCAGCGGCATCTCCGGCGGCGGCGGCTTCCCCGGCGGCTCCCGCCGAGCCGCTGGACGACGGCTACTTCTGGCGTAAGTACGGGCAGAAGGCGGCGAAGGGCGCGGCGTATCCGCGCGCGTATTTCCGCTGCGCCGTGCCCCGCTGTCCCGCCAAGAAGACGGTCGAGCGGTCGTCGGAGGATGGGAGTACGATGGAGATCGTTTACCGCGAGGAACACAATCATCCACGTGGCACTCTCCCCGGCCGCCGCGTGTCCCCCACTTCGCAGGGCGGTGCGGGAGCTGCGGGCGGAGCGTCCGGCCGCGTTTTAGTCACGGAGGAGATGGCGGGTTTTGCAGCGGGTGTGACGGGATCCCGCCTTCCCCGGTTAAGCCGCGTCAGTCCCAGCAGCAGCTTCCGCAAAACTCCGCTGTGCCGCAGCCCCAGGCTCCCCCCGCCGCCGCCGCTTCCCCCGCCTGCCCCGCTTCCGCGGATCTCGCCGCTTCCGCCTTCCCCGCCTCCGCGGATCCTTCCACCGCAGCGGGGCTCGCGCTGCTGGAGAGCCTCAGCACGGAGGATCTCGCGCGGCTCGTCTCGGCGCTTTCCTCCGACGCTATGGCTGCTGCCACCGCCGTGCTCGAAGCGGCGGTCGCCGCCGGCGTCATGGACAGCAGTTTAGGCGTCGCTGCCGCCGCCGCCGGGGCCGCCGCTGGGGGAGACGCGCACGCGCAGACCGCCGCCGCCACCGCCGCCGCCAAGGATCTCGCTGCTGCTGCTGTTAACGCCACCGCTGCAGTTACCGCCGCTACCGCTGCTGCGGAGGTGGCTCGCGGGCATATGATCCGATCCGCCTCCGACCGCGGAGCTCCGGCAGCAGCTGCAGGTTTGGCTGGAGGTTCGGCAGTAGACTCGGCAGCGGCTCGCGCGCTCCTTTTCCGGTCCGTTTCGGAACCTAAGGAGGAGTGCGATGATAATTCCTCTAGCGGGAATTACGGCGGGGAAGCCCCAGGATTCGCGGGGATTAACAGCGCAGCTGTTGCTGCGGTCGCTGCTCTTGCGCGCGGTTCCGCCTTAGCCGTCGAGCCGTCAAGTTGCAGCACGGGAAGCGCTAATAGCACGGGTAGCCGTCAAAAGCGCCGGTCGATGGAAGAAGAGAACACCGTCAGCCCAACATCCCCTAATCTTCACTCTGTGCCTTTAACGAAGGGTGCCTCCGCCGCGTTTAGCGAGGGTGGGAACGCCCCGGGAAGCATTTCCCCCGCTGGGGGCAGCGGCGGAAGGGGAAAAAGGTTGCGCACTGGAGGGAATTCCGGCGGGAGGGGGAGCGGGGGGCGCGGAAGCGGAAGCGGAAGCGGGGAGCAAACGCAGACGGACAGACGGTTACGATGACGGTCGTGCAGGTCGAGGGAACCGGTCGCGATGTGGTTGGCGACGTGGAGGATGGTTACCGCTGGCGAAAATATGGCCAAAAGGCGATAAAAGCGAGCCCTTATGAAAGAAGTTACTTTAGGTGTAGCAAGGAGGGTTGCGGTGCACGACGGGTTATCGAAAGGTGCCCGGAGCAGCCCGAAGACGAGAGTGTAGCTGCGACACATACGAATCTGCTCGTGACTTATATCGGGGAGCATTCGCACGCGCGGCCGTTCCGAGCCAAGGTGATCTACAAGCCCGTTCTTGATGCTTCTCAGGAACCTTCCCTAGAGGAGAAACCCTCTGCTGACGTCAGCACTGCAGTAAACCCTAATGCTGCCGGTACTGCGTTGGGTTCTCCTGCTGTTCCGCAGACGCAGCATGAGCGAGCCTGTGAGCCGGAGATAACTGGAGCTGTAGGGGAGATGCAGGACAGGGGGGAAGCAGGCAGTGGTGCAGGCATGCAGCAGATGGCCATGCCACACCTGCAGGAGCTGAAAATCGAAGATTTCTCCTTTGACGACCTTCCCAGGCTATGGTGAAGCTTTCTACAGTGATGCTGATGGTTATAACGAATCAGCCAAGGCTGTTCTTATGGCATCAGGGACTGGGTTTCGGGTTTTTGTTCAGGGTTTAGTTCTAAGGCATGTACAGCCTTCCATCCATCCACCCGCTCTGGCTGTGGGGACGGATGGCAGGCTGTACCCCTTATAAGTTGGTGTTCTTACCGTTTCTGTGCTACTTTGCTGGCTAGTACAGCCTTCCATCCATCCGCCCCCTGTGTGTGCGGATGGATGGCAGGCTGTACCACTCTCTTTGTTATGATTTCTGCTATTTTCTATGCTATATTTGAACTTGAAACCCCCGAGTCATTGGTACAGGAACACACCAAACGATTGAAGCCCTTCGGCAGAAAAAACGTAGGGGCACCCAACCAGGGCTCCCGTTATCAGACCAAATCGGTCTGATGGTCTGAAAATCAGACCGGGTTTTTATGTTTCATCTGATTTTTTTACGAGCCAAATATATTCGTCTGATCGTTCAGACAAGTTATAAGAATTCGTCTGAAACATTGTTGGAAATATCTCAAGGACTTAAGCGTTTCTGAAGTGTAACACTGTACTCGAGGAAGATTACAGGGGAGCACGCGAGTCAACGGAGGTTACACGAGGGGGCGGACAAAGAATGCGAAAGGACTCGAAAGGTCGCAACTGGAGGTTGCGACTGACCGTTTACAACATCACGGATGGTAACCGAAGCGGCAATCGAGTCGCTGTGCGACTCGATAAACCGTTCCTGTAACTGTATTCTACAACTGCTTTCTTATCTTCTATATATTGCTGTATGCTTGTTTCTTTAATCAATCACTTGTTCTCACATACTAGTACAAGGGTTCAACTGCCTCAACTTCCGCTGCACTACTCCAAGTCTCAAGTCTCTACAGCTGGGACTTAGTCTCTGCAAAAGATCCTAAGGGCTTTTTTTTTCAGCCCAACATGGTATGAGAGCTGGTCAGAGACCAAACTCCCAGCAACTACGTCCTATCAACAACCTGCAACTCAACTCAATTCAACGACTTCATTGATTACAAGACATGGACAACAAGGGCAAGAAAGTCTCTACGGGCTCACCCAGCGCCCAAGAAACTCAACACGGCAACTCTGGTCTGCACACCTCAGGACTGCAGACAGAGACCGGGACTGCTCAAGAAACAACGGGAAGAGTACCAGAGATGGTGACCCCGTCTCCCTCTTCAAGTGTGGACCCGAATCTCATGGAGAGATTCTTCAGCTTCATGTCACACTTCGATCAGCAGCAGCAGACAAGGACACCTGCGCACTCAACACAGAGCAATGGAGGGAATATGGGATTAGCGCCGATGAGCCTCGACAACTCATCCTTCGGGCGACACAATCAAGCGCCTACCTTTGCGCCTTATCATTCTTCGCCGGGGACGTTCGAATTCATGCCGCCCCGTGCCCAGCCAACAGCAGCTGCTTCACAACAAACACCGAATGAAATCTTAAGTTTACAGGCGCAGTTCTCACACGTGATCAAACTTCAGACATCCTCACCGTTCAACGGACACGACTTCTTTACCTGGAGCTTCGAGTTCGAGCTGCTGATGGAGGCCGCGCATCTTCTGGGATACTTCAACGGGTCCCTGCCATTCCCAAGCAACGGCACTGGGAAGGAACAAGAAATCTTCACGTATCAGTCGCTGCTGGCGTATACGGTACTCCTGAGAAACCTGTCACCACAAGAGCAGCAGAGCATCAGAACGTATCGAAGTTATGGAAACTCCGCGGAACTCGCATGGCATCATCTCAAGTGCCTCTATCAAGCAAACGACAGCGTGACACAAAGCAGACTCATGCAACAGCTGACAACAATACAGATGAAGACCGGGGAAAAGGCGATGCAGTATATGAGTCGCTGCCAGACCCTCCGCGACCGCCTGCTTCGGTGCGGAGGAACGATCACTGAAGAAAGCTTCGTGACACTTGTCCTCGCCGGGCTCGGGCCAGAATGGAGAACCACACGATCACTTCTTCGAGCCCACGGAAGAATTTCGGAGATGCACCTCTGCGCCGAGCTTCACGCTGAACAACAGGAGATGGATCTGTTCGAGGAAAGACAACCAAGGAAGCAACAGCAGTTAGTCTTCTACACTCAAAGAAGAAATGACAACAACTACAACCGACGCAGCAAGCAAGATCAACGTGACAACCGAGGACTCACCATCGTGCCGCCGTTCTGCCACAACTGTCAGACTTCCGGGCACTCCAAGGTCAACTGCAACCGCCCTCGCGTTTACCGTGCAGCAGACCCACAAGTCGCTTCCACTCAAGCAAGTCCTCCAAGGCGCTCTTCAACATCTGCACAACAAACACCCAACATCATCAACTGCATGGTACACATCGACAACTGCGCACCCGCTTCACCACCCACTTACGCACCAGACGAAGAGGAATTCCCGCCGCCGCGCTCGCAAGGACTTCAGGTCAACCCGACATACGCTGCAGTCGCTAACGCCGAACCCACCGGGCGGAACACCTGGTTCTTGGACAGTTGCTGCGGTCAGCACATGTGCTCCTCCGGACGCTTCGTACAACACGAGCGACGCCTCAACCGTGACGTCGTCATCACCGTCGCCAACAACGAAAACCTGAAAACAAATAGACAAGGCGTGGTTCAGTTACAATCAATGGAGACAAACGTTATTCTTCAGCTCAACAAGGTCCTCATCGTCGACAATCTGGGATACAACCTATTAAGCGTAAGCCAACTAATGGCTAAGGGGATTCACCTGGAGTGCGACTCCTTCTCCAACGAGTTCCGACTTTACCACGGGAAGGGCGGTCTCTTCATCGGTCGTGCCCTCCTGAAGTCCGGTGTCTTCGTGTTGGACTTCGTCCCCGACCGCGGAACTGCCGACAGCGATGGCATCGTATCGTTCGCCGCCTGGACTCACCCACCAGATCTTGATCCCGACTTCGACAGTGACGGCTTCTGGCACTCCAACACCATACCTGCAGCAGAGAGAACACGGGCATTAGCAGTTATCAGACAAGAAAGACAAGTACCAGCAAGCGTCCCAACAAAACCATCACCTGCAGTATCGGCAGCAGGACCCAGCCGAGTACCACCACCAGCGACACGAGGACAGCCAACCGAAGCAGACCAACTTATGCCCGCCACACGAGAAGCTTGTCGAAGTCCCGCCTCGGTCGTCGCGTTCTTCTCCAACGCCGACATCTACCACCGCTCGCCCGGTCACCGCGCTCCCGACGACATCTGGCACCAACGTCTCGGACATCCTGCAAACAGCACGATACTTCAAACAATCCAAGCAGAAGTGTTAGAACGCAACGCCCTTCTGACGACGAGCGGCCAGGAACTCCGACGACCACGCGCACGATGCTTCACGTGCCCCGAAGCAGATCTTCCTCATCAACCTTTCCCAGCCCATCACAATCCAAGCGCACCCACTTACGCTCCGATGGAAAAGGTCTACAGCGATATTCTAAACATGCCTCGAGACGACACCGAAGCCGACTTCAACTACGTCATCACGTTCATCGACGCCGCAACCAGATACGTCTGGCACTTCAATCTCAAAACGCGCGATCAAGCCTTCGAGGCCTTCACCACATGGCTTCCAATCGCCGAACGAGAGTCAGGAACCAAACTCAAGAGTTTCCAGTCAGACGGTGCACTGGAATACCAGTCACAACGCTTCAGGACCTATCTCGCGGAAAGGGGAATCCGACGCCTGGTGTCTCTGCCCTATGCTCACCAGCAGCAGGGGGTAGCAGAACGCATGAACCGGACCTTGCAGACGACGATGCGAAAACTGCTTCTGGGGATGAGGCTGCCCAACGCACTGTGGCCAGACGCGATGACACATGCAGTCCACCTGCACAACCTGTTGTCCTCGTCATCGCTCCCCAACAACGCATCACCACACCTGCTGTGGACGGGAAAAAGGGGCAGCACAAAATTACTTCGAGTTTTCGGCTGCATGGTACAATACAGACCCCACACAGCTCGAGCAGGACGCTTCACTCAACGAGCTCGGTGGGGACTACACCTCGGCATCGCCAAACATTTTCACGCGTGGAAGATTCTCGACATACACGACAAAAATACGGTGGCATCACGTGATGTTATCTTCTACGAGCGACTGACGCTGCAGCATTACCTGGACAACATTGCCAACTCAGACGACCCCACCGACGGCTTCGCGGGCCTTCGCTCCTTCGCTGACCATGCTGCCGAGGCTGACGCAGCAGAAGAAGACGTCCCTGGAGCCTCGGAGGCTGCCGGACCACTCCCCTACTGCTCCGTACCTGTTCCACTCGATGAAGATAATCCCCTCGATAGCAACAACCTCGACACCTTTTACCACTTCGCTGACCAAGGCTACGCTACACCACACCCCGTCGACTCGAATATTTCCGAACGCATCGGGCCAAACTTCTTACCCGATCCTGAAGACGGTGATGAAGCAGCTTATCCCGAGAATGAAAACTCCCCTCGACACACAGCCACGGGACTGCAGATCCTAGGACTATGGGTCTCCGTCCAGCACCCGCCGCCGCCTTCTCCGCGCGAGCCGTCGACCCTGTCGCAGGCTCTGGGGGGGGAACATAAGGCACAATGGAAGGAAGCGATGGAAAAAGAGTTAAAAGCTCTGCAAGACCGAGAAACATGGAAACTGGTACCTGCAACGAGCATCAACGGGAAGAACATTCTCTCGGGGAAATGGGTGTACCGCATCAAGACCAACTCAGACGGCTCCATCGAACGATTCAAAGCTCGATGGGTCGTACGAGGCTTCGATCAACGATACGGAACCGACTACACAGAAACCTTCGCTCCAGTCTCCCGTCACACCTCTCTGCGCATCCTACTCGCCATCGCGGCCACGAAGAAACTACCACTACGGCAAATCGACGTTGCAAACGCCTTCTTGTACGCACCTGTGGACGCCGAAATCTTCGTCGAACAACCCCACGGATTCATCGACGACCCTTCAAAAGTATGCCAGCTGGAAAAATCCCTTTACGGGATCAAGCAAGCCCCACGGCTCTGGCAGCAGCACCTTCACGGCCGGCTCGTAAAAATCGGATTCCTACAGCTACCACATGACCAAGGCATGTACCGACTACAGAAGGGAAGAGATTACATTCTGCTCATCGTCTACGTCGACGACCTGCTCTACATCGGTTCTACCACCGACATCGTCACCTGGTTCGAAGGGGAGCTGAAAAGGGACCTGACGCTCACGGTGTCCGACGAAGTTACCCAGTACCTAGGACTGAACATCGTCGAAGACGACACGGCGTTCTACCTACACGCTGGAAAGTACTCAAGCACCGTCGCGAAGAAATTCGGTCTAGCACCAACTGCGGTCCCAACTCCCTACCGCTATGGGAACAACAGTAGCGCCTCCACAAAACTCCCCGCGAAACAAATCCAGGAGTATCAACAGAAGCTCGGCTGCCTACTATTCGCAGCAGTAACCTGCCGACCCGACCTATCCTATAGTGCGAGTCAGCTGGCGACACATCTGAAGCAGCCGCAACAGGAAGATCTCGAAGAACTCAATCGAGCGCTACTCTACTTCGTCTCCACGCCGACGATCGGGCTCACCTACAGCAAGGCAACAACACCGTCCGTACAACTACTCGGATACGTCGACGCCGACCACGCGGGAGACAGCGAAAATCGACGGTCTAGGACGGGCTACATCTACCGACTAGAACCTATCGGAACTATCTCCTGGCAGTCGAGCAAGCAGGAGTTAATCGCACTATCCTCGGCTGAAGCAGAGTATATCGCCCTTTGTACTGCGACCAAGGAAGGACTCTACCTACGAGAGTTACTCGAAGAAGCGAAGATCGCGACCCTGCCCGCCTTCTCACTCCTCTGCGACAACCAATCTGCGATCAAAATCGCGAACAAGGACGGCTTCGCCAACCGAACCAAGCACATCGCCCTGCGGTACTTCTTCGTCAAGGATGAAATCGCGAAGGGGAGACTTCAACTCAGTTACTGCCCGACGACAGAAATGGCCTCAGATTATCTGACAAAGAAATTGGCGAAAGCAAAATTCGACTACTGCATGCTCCTAACCGGGCAAACAAACGTCACCGGATCTGAACACTCCAGCACTCCAGAAACGAAGGGGAGTGTTGGAAATATCTCAAGGACTTAAGCGTTTCTGAAGTGTAACACTGTACTCGAGGAAGATTACAGGGGAGCACGCGAGTCAACGGAGGTTACACGAGGGGGCGGACAAAGAATGCGAAAGGACTCGAAAGGTCGCAACTGGAGGTTGCGACTGACCGTTACAACATCACGGATGGTAACCGAAGCGGCAATCGAGTCGCTGTGCGACTCGATAAACCGTTCCTGTAACTGTATTCTACAACTGCTTTCTTATCTTCTATATATTGCTGTATGCTTGTTTCTTTAATCAATCACTTGTTCTCACATACTAGTACAAGGGTTCAACTGCCTCAACTTCCGCTGCACTACTCCAAGTCTCAAGTCTCTACAGCTGGGACTTAGTCTCTGCAAAAGATCCTAAGGGCTTTTTTTTTCAGCCCAACAATGCACCATGAACTATCACTGTGGGGGGAAACAAATATAATTATAGGCTACATTAGGTGGGAAGGTCATCCTGGCCTGGCAATACCTGCCTCTACACTGTGGTGTGGAGTGGAGTGAGGTTTTCACAGGGACAGCTTCAAATCCAGCTGAGCACCGGCTTCGTCGTCACCTACTGCATCCCGGCCATCGCTACGCTTCACGGCTGGAGCTTCAACTGCACCCTCCCTTCTCTCCTGCTGTGCATGCCCCTCTCTGCCCATCTGCTGCAGTTGCTGCTGATGCACATCCACTGGATTTATTCCTTGCTCCTGCTGCTGCTGCTGCTGCTGCTGCTGCTGCTGCATATGCTTGTGTTGAATTTGCTCGTTCTCTCGGTACGCCTGACTGTGGTGCTCTCCCAGGTGCACGAACTCCTGCATCTCTCTTGGCGACAGTTTAAAAGGGGGATATGCAGGCTCTGCTGGGGCCGGAGTTCTTTCACGCATCGCCAGGCGAAACGTCTCCAGCTGCTGCTGCTGCTGCTGCCCCAACTGCTGCTCCAATTGCTGCTCCTGTTGATGCTGCACCTGCTGCTGCTCTAACTGCTGCTCCCGCTGATGCTGCACCTGCTGTTCCATCTGCTGCTGCTGCATCTGCTGTTCTAACTGTTGTCGCTGCAACTGCTGCTGCAGCTGATACTCTTGAAACTGCTGGAATCGCTCCTGCTGGTGGTGTCGCCTCAGCCTTTGCTGCAAGGGAGGATGCTGGTATGTCTGCTCTTGGACCTGCTGCAGCTGCTGCTGTAGTTGCTGTTGCCCACCCTGCTGCCCTTCTCCCCGCACCCAGCCCTGCTGCTCAAACCTCCCACGCTCACCTCTTGCACCATCCGCCCCCTCCCATTGCGATTCTTCTCCCCTGGAAGGCTCAGCCCTCCATTGTCGCACGGAGTTCCCCCCTCCACCCTGAGAGGAAAGCATGGCTGCAACAGAGCCCTCGGCAGTGCGGGCAGGCTGGCTGGGGGTGAATTCCGACGTGAGAGCAGAGGACGACGAGCCGGCAGACGCCGGACGCAGCCACTGTGATTCTTCTCCCCTGAAAGAGTCTGCTGCCCCAAACGGCTCGATGCTTCTGCCCCCACCTTGTGAGGAAAGCATGGCTGACATAGAGCCCTCAGCAGCACGGGCGGGCTGGCTGGGGGTGAAGTCAGACGTGAGAGCAGAGGACGACGAGCCGGCAGACGGTGGCCGGAGCCATTGCAGCCCTCCTCTTCCCTCTGAAGAATCGTCAGCCGGGCGTTTCGGCTCTCCACGGGAACCTACCACCCTCTTCGGGATCTCTCCCATGAAAGAGTCACCTGCCAAGCGTTGTGGCTCTCCACTAAAGCCTGCCACCCCTCTCCGCCCTCCTCCCCCTGAAGAATCGCCTTCCAGCTGTCTCAGATCCCCGATGGATCCTGCCGCCCACGGTGCCTCACTTCCTGTGGATCCTGCCGCCCATTTCAACAGCACTGCATAGTCTGCGATAGATTTTGACCCACTCACAGCACAGTCAGCTACCCTTTTCAGTCCACCAGCAGAGATCCCTGCAACGCGTTCGGAGAAGGATGTCGGTGCTGGTGCTGGTGCTGGTGCGGCTGGCGGCAATCCCAAGGGCTCCGGAGGCGGTTCCATTGCTCTGTGACTGCGACTGAACGGCCCAGTGGGAGGCGCGTCATCCGCATTTCTTGGTGCCGCAAAGGCGTGCTCCATTGTAAGCCTTCTCCTCCGTGCGTCCCCAGGGGCAACTGCTGTCCCTCCTGTCAATTCCTCAGGTACTTCTCGTTTAGGCCTTGAGGTCGGTGATTCCAGCATAACTCCCTCCCGCATGTACTGCTGCTGCTGCTGCCGCTGTCGCTGCTGCTGTTTTTCTTGCTGTTGCTGCTGCTGCTGTTGTTGCTGCTGCTGCTCGCTTTGTCGCTGCTGTTGCAGCAGCAGGTGGATGCTCCCACCAGGGGGGGACGGAGCAGTCAGCCGCCCAAAAATACTCTCCAGTACGCTCCTGGTCGGCATGTCTTGTCCACGTCCCAACTCCACCCCCGCCAGTTGAACGCCGACGTCACTCTCTACACGCTCGCTCATTGGACGGTCCGAATTGCTTTTCAGCTCTCTTCCCCTCCATGTAACGGTCGGATGGCTTCCATCCACGGGCTCGGGCTTTGCCTCTCCCATCGTAACAGTCATGGGCTGTTGAAGCACGGTGAAAGGGAGAGCAGCAGCGCCCAGGGCACCGCCTCTTACCACAGGCACTTGTGCCCATGCCACACGGCCTGGCCTTGATTCTTGAGCTCTGCCCATTCTCCCCCCCACCAAGAACGGGTTACCAGTAGAGCATTCTCCCCCACTGAGAGGGTTACCAGCAGAGATCCCAGCCCCTGCTGCAGGTGCGTCTGCAGCACTAATGTCGCATTGTACAGTCACGCTAGCCATGGGCCTTCCCTTACCACCACTGCTGCCACCACTGTCACCGCTACCAGCACCACTACCAGCACCGCTACCGGCACCAGCCATGGGCTTGTCATGCTTGTCCCTGCCACTGCCACTGCTGCTGCCACTGCCTGCCGCTATGCCTGCATGCGCACCCTCCAACTTCTCGTCCTTCCACTTGAGTGCCTCTCGCACCCTCCTCTCAGCCTCCTGCTTCTGTGGTGTGCCTTGCTTTGGCCGCGTGTCGTGCCTGCGCAGAGTGTCAGTGTCACGCCTTGTCGAGGAGTAGAGCATCCGAGGTGAAACATCTTGCATCCGAGGTGAAACATCTTGCATCTGAGGTGAAACATCGTGCGTCTGAGAATCGTCTTGCGCTTGCGCTGCATCTACCGTCTTCACTGTGGCTTTCTCCCCTTCCTTCCCTGCTTTGGTTACTGATTCTTCCCGTTTCCCTGCGGCTCTGCCGTCTCCCTGCCTCGCGACAGGAACAGCGCTCTCGACCTGCTGCTTTCTCGCCCTGCTCCTCCTCTCCCCACTCCCCTTACCAGCAGCACCGCCACTTGCACCACCAGCAGTAACACCGGCGCCAGCACCAGGACCAGAACCAGCAGCAGCAGCCGCTGCTGCCTTTGCTGCCTTTTCTTTCTGCCGCTGCAGCCGTAATTCCCGGTGCCCGTTTTGGTGCCCGCCCAAAGCATGCAGGGTTGGAAACCGCATGTGGCAGACCTTGCACTCGTGCGGCCCCGAACCTCGGATCCAGGGTCGGTTCTCCGCCGCACCAAGGTGAGGCCAGGTGGTTGAGTCAAGCAGGGGAGATATGGAAGACCCTCCGAGGCTGAACAGACGCTGCTGGGCGAGGCCTGGGGGCGACCGGACCTCTCCCGAACCAAAAGATTCCGAGCCTGCTGCCAACCCAGCAGCAATGACCATGGCATCAGTGGTGGCATGAGCAGCACCACCAGAACCCGCAGCACTTGCAGCTGCAGCAGCAGCAGCAGCGGCGGCGGCGGCGGCTACCCCCTCAGCAGCGAATTGAACAGCAGGGGACGTTGGTTCACGGATTGCTGCTGGTACTGCTGGTGGGGCTCTAGATCTAGAGCCTGCCATGGCTGCAGTCGACGTTTGAGGCGCCTCAAAGCTAGAACCTCCGGGCATCACAGCTGTCGACGCGGTGATCGCGTCAGGTTCGACGTCCATGGATCGGTCGCTGCTCCGTTCCGTGCCTCCTCCCGTGCTCGTTCCGCCAGCGCCCGCGCTCGTGCTCGCGCCACCCGCACAAAAACCCCCCGAGATCGCTCCACCCGCGGCCGCGCCACCCGCGCTTCCGCCGCCCGCACGAAATCCTCCCGCACTCACTGCGCACTGTGCTGCGTGGAGCTCACGCGGAGACGAATCGAGCTCCGCGACGGCGCTTTTCGTCCCATCGCGCTTTGCGGGGAGCTCACGCGGAGACGGGACAAATCCCGCGGCGGCGCTCCCTTTCCCCTCGCTCTTCACGCGGTCGGTAGGGGACAGGCGGAAGCTCCCCGCGCGCCATGAGGGAAGCCCCGCGTCGCTAATTTGCTCCCGCGGAAGTGCTCCCCCCGCTTCCCCGCCCCATCCGCCACCCCCCGCACTTCCCCTTCCCCTTCCGCCCTCTCCTCCTAGCCCTACGCCGCCTCTTTTCCGTACGTTTCCGCCTGGCACGCGCGCCAACGGATCAGGAATCCTCGTGATCCTCGTAAGCCAGTCGCTCAGCTCAAGCGACGGTTCGCCGCTGTCACCCGGCGGTCGCCCACTGGGCGGCGGTCGCACGGCTGCGACTCCTTGCGAGCCCGCGTCGTCGCCTCTGCGACCGCTGCCGCCGTCGCCGCTGGGAGATGCGGCGGTTGCGAGGACGGGCGACAGTTGCAGCTGTTCCGGCGACGAGAGTGGCTGCTGGTGCTGCGGGTGCTGCTGCTGCTGCGCCGACGCGAGTCGTTGCGCCAATGCGCTCCATAGCGCCGTCGATGCAGGGGACGAAAACGGCGCGGCCGCGGCGCCCGCCGCGATCGCCGGCGACGAAAATGGCGCCGCGGGGGCCATCTCCGTGCGATATCTCGCCGCGGCTGCGGCCGGCACGAGAGGAAACGGTGCGGGCGCGGAAAAAGCGGCGGGATACGCGGCGGGTGGCGCGGCGGGTGGCGCAGGGGGAGGCGTATCGGTCTGCTGCAGAAACTGCAGGCTCTGTCGCGTGAAAACCGCCGCGGATGCCGCCAACGCCGCGGCGGAAGCGAACCATGATTGCATTTCGACTGGCGACGGCGGCGGTGCAGGTGGCGGCCCCGGGCCGGGCGTGGTTCTAGTATCAGCGTGACGCTGTCCGCTTTGAAGGCTCCGACTCCGAGTCATCAACGAATGCTCCGCCATGGTTCCAAGATCACGATCGTCATCATGGCGTCTCAAGTCCGGATCACTGACCGTGACAGATTCGAGTGGTCTCAAAGCATGACTCAAGCCGGGACGCCGAGCCATGGCGGGATCAGCATCGCCGTCCGCCGCGGCGGTCGCCATGGGTTTTTGCTCATCATCATGATGGAACCACGGCGGAACACCCGCCGCACGCTGCGGCGGAACGACCGCCGCATGATCACGATGTTGCGGCGACGGATTCGGCGGCAGGTTTGGTGAAAAGCGGCGGCGGCGGCGAAGCTCCTCCTCCTCAGCGCTTCCCGGTGCTTCGACCTGATGAACCCTGAACCGCCCCGGGGGGGAACCGTTCCGCGTCGCCATCGTGCCACTATCACGATACTGAAAAGTAGTGCTGCTTCTTGCTTCCCCGTACTCGTCAGCGCTGCGCCGCTGTTGTACTAGTGGATACTGGTGGGCGTCACGCGGCTCGGTCGCCGCTGAAGCCGCCGCCGCCTCAACGTCCGATGTTAGCAGCAGCTGCATTGCTTCTAGCGGTCTCCTTGACGGAGTCCGTCGCGCCTCCTGATGAGAATCTTCGTGTTGATCAGAACCCTGACGTTGACGTTGACGTTGTCCGTCTAAAGCCATCTCGACTGAATCCGGCGCATTTCCATCATGCTCCGAGAACGGGATTGCGTCGCTATCGTGATATCCAGCCATGGCTCTGGCTCGTCCCCAACGACAGCCGAGTCGGCTCTGGTTAAGCAACTTGAGTGGGGATCAACTTCAACGGTCGGACCACGGAACGAGTCGAACGAATTAGTAACACGAGCGCGCGCCGGGTTGAGCAGCGATTCGCTAAGAGCAAAATTCGTACGAAATTGTGATTTTCGCGAGATTGAGCCAACCACGACATTAGACAACAAAAAAGGCGCCGAAATCCTTGGAGGCGCCGTAAATGCTCGGGCGCGGATCTAAGGCAGCTGCTTTCAACTCTACCCTAGGGCTTCAGTCGTCCCTGTCCAACGGGAATAACGAACAGAGGTTACGTTCTTTTGAACTGATGTCTCTGGGATGCTACCACTGTGTACAAGTTGACAGAAATCCCAGCGGACCAGGGTGAGAGAAGGACGAGAACGGAGGAGAGGGGGACGATAGGGGACAACACAACTCCTCTCTGAGAGAGAGGGGAGAGTGTGAGGGGAGCTGTGAGTCGTGGCTCGTTCGTGCTTGTGCGTGCTGGGAACCGAAAAAGAGCACTGATCCTTGGTTTGACCAACAGAATACACCGAATTCACGTTATATGTCTCAGCGCTACTGTCCAAAAACTCTCTTGAGACCAAATTACAAATGTTTTCAGGTTACATCCCTCTATATACAGTCCACTGTAAGGTGTACAACGGCCCTATCCATCCAACTCGATGATGCTGGTGGGTTGTGCAATCCAGGCACGAACCAATCGGATGGAGCTGATCAAATTCATGCGGCTCGATTAAGTGGTTTAGCGAACCTCCTAGGATTGTCGTCTGGTACTCGCCGTCCATTGAGAAGTCATAATGCCACGTAGGTGTAATCGAATGTGGCGACTGTCACCCCCCCTGCTCGAGTGGAGAGTTTGACGTCCACGAGGGCAGGCTTCGACCCCCTAAATCACTGAGGTGGCGGGTGATCATGCCACCTGTACAGTTGGTTGGCCTCCCTTCTCGTCACGCCATCTCCCCCTTGGGAGCTGCATTCCTTCTTGCCAAAATCCCTATTTAGACGTAGAACTCCATAACTTTTTCAACCCGTCTCAGCACCCGTAACCGTTTCCAGTCGCGTTCTCAGCCCGTCACAATGCATCGCATGCATCGCTGGGCACAGATTCCGATCGACACCAAGCGCGCCATTTGCAAGCATGCAAATGCGAACCCGCATCTTTGCCTGGACGACCTCGTGTCCTGGTGCTTCACTCGTTACGGTCTGCTGCCTGACCGGAGCACTGTTGGAAAGATTTTGAAGCACGAGGCAAAATGGGCGGCAGCGCCTACCCAGCAGAGGAACATTCGTGTTCGTCACGTGCAGTATCCTTCACTCGAGGCTGAGCTTAAGGCGTGGATAAAAAATACCGGCCCTGCAGGTACTCCACTAACGTTGGCACTTATTCAAATCAAGGCCAAACAGCTTGCGCGAATTATTGGTTTTCCGGTCAGTTTCAAATGTTCGCTGTCCTGGATCCACAAAGCGGTGAATCGCATGGGCTTAAAAAATCTGACACGCAAGGGTGAAGCAGCAGATGCTGACATGGCTGCCGTCAACTGGGCTCGCGTGAAGCTCCCCGAGCTGCTGCTCCTGCTTGGTGTGCATCTGAAGGACCTGTTCAACCTCGACGAGACAGCACTGTTTATCGCGTTCTAGCCGAGGAAAACGTGGGCTGACAACACAGCGGTCGGCCGCAAGGCTGCAAAGGACCGTGTTACTGTCGTCTTCACGTGTAACACCGACGGCTCGTCGATGCTGAAGCCAATGATAATCTCCAAGGTTCGCCGCCCTCGCGATTTCAACGAAACCAATTTCGACCCTGAGCCGTGGGTGCACTGGCGTTAGAATTAGAAGGGCTGGATGACCAGCGAGGTAAACATGCATTCAAATCGCCCATCCCGGCCTTCCATTCCCTTCGGAACCTGTACATTTGTGTCTGCTGCTATTTTTCACTCGTCGGTTCGTACACACTATCGTTTTTCTTCCAGCTGCCATTCGTTCCGGATTTCCGCTGTAGTCTGAGTAACAGCATGGCCCTTTTTTAAATACCGTTATGTAGGTTTTCATGGCGTACATGGAATCCCTCAACGCTGCCATGTTCGCTAAGGGAAGATCGATCGTCCTCTTCGTCGATAACGCGTCGAGCCATCGACTCGACATCGTCGGCGCGATCACCGAGGACATTCTCGGTTTTAGGACTCGGACGCTGAGTAACATGCGCATCGTCTACTTACCTCCCAACACGACCTGCTTTATCCAACCACTGGACCAGGGCATAATTGCCACGACTAAGGCCCGTTACCGCGTCGCGTATCTCGCGATGCTCACCCAGCTATGGGAGGCGAACGGCTGTCCAACTGAGCTTCAACGCTTCAAGCCGAAGATGTCGCAGTCATCCGTTGGATCCACGACGCGTGATACAGCATCGACCAGAAAACGGTGGAGCGGTGCTGGTGGCACACTCGCATCCTCCCCGTGACTTGGATGCCCGCCCCCCAGCCCGATGAATCGCCGGTGCGTGACCCCGCCGACACCGAACCGAAGTTGGAGTCGCTGGTGTTGATCATTCCGTGCCTTCAGTTCGGGAGCGCGGCGATGGCAGCAACTGACTTCCTGCGCATCGACGAAAACCACCCCACCTGCGACTTGGAGGGCGTGGACCCGCTCGCCGCAGAGCCTCGCCGCACTGCCACTGCCGGCCCCCGGGAGGCGCCGTTCGACTTTGATGGGGGGCGGGCATTGCGTCGTGTGGCCTGTCGAGCATCCGAGATGCTTGTCGGGTTTGCGCGTGCGTCGGGCATCAGCCCGAACGATCTGCGCCACCTGTTCGACATCCGCAACCCCGTGGTTGTCGACAGGTTGGCGCGGGCGTCGGCCAATGCTCTGAACCTTAACCTCCCCCCTCCCACCCTCCCACCCACGGTCAACATGCGAGATGACCCCGAGACCGTTGCGGGACGGCACATTCTGCTGCGCGCGGCTGGTGATCTAGATGGCCACGCTGACAACTCCGACTGGCTCAGCTACTAAAGTCGGCAGCCGCGTGGCCATCCAAGTCAGCTACTGGTCTTTCCCCCGTCCATCCCAGCGTCATACCTGTATCCGTCCCCTTCCCTCCACAATCTGTTTCCCTTATTTGGTGCACTGTGTTGTGCTTGATTTGAAATTGTGCTCTTGAAGCAACTCTCTGTGGTGTGTTCTACTCTTATTCCCCCTTTGTTTCCCAGCTGACACGCTTTGTTTGTTTTGGGAGGTTGAAGTTACTGCTAGGCTGGAGCATCCTGTCCCAGTCGAGTGTTGGTTCAGTTTGTGTCCGACGTGGGAGGTTCTTGAGAGTGGTGTGGTTGGTGTGGTTTCACGTAGCATGACACGTTTGCCAATGTTATAATCAGTAACTTTTTCAGGACCGTATAATTTTTCGTGGTTCTCATAACCCCCAAAACACCAACGTAGCGTACAAAATATTGAGCCATGCTCGCGAAGTTCGCGGGCATTTTGACGATGTCCTATTGGCGAAAATCGTAACCGCGTTGTTTCCACATAGGTTTAGCGAATCCCGCCCGTCATCATTCCGACCACACGATTCATTACACGTTAATGTCGACTTTGCCCCTACGGTTCAGTTTCCGAGTTTGAGTCGCAGGCCGCGTGAAAAATCAGAGGGCTTCAAACTTAGATCAGGTGTAGTGGGCTGCGAAGCGGCATTCTTTCGCAGCCGAGGGTGAGAGAGAGGAAAGGGAAACGCAGGGGGAACAAATCCGCCACGCTGAACGGAACATGCGTCAAGGAGGCGAGGAGGGGAAAGCGAAGCAGCTGTCTCGCTAAGCCTAGGGTATTCCGTTAGGTCACGGAATCGGCTCCGAAAATACCCGTTGCGGACAAAAACGCCGAAATATTACCCGTTGGCCTACGGATTCGTCAAAGAGCTACTCTTGGTTTGATACTAACATCCTTGAAGGCAAATGGCCTTGGCCAGGGCGAAGGAAAAGCCATCGAAACCCCAGGGGCTGATTTTTGCAAATCCTTCGCCTCAGGCAGTTGAAAGGGTAGAAATATTCCCCGCATCTAATCTCGCGCTTTGTTTAGTGGAAAAAGTTGGGAAAAGTAGAGGGGGGGGGGGGTGGCAAAGGGGTGATACACCACCATGAACAGATCTCTTACTGCAATTGAACTTCGCACTGAATCAAAGAAAGGTACCCGCATTGTCAAGAAATCACACGAAAAGTACCCCGTTAGTCAGACGGAATCAAACTATTTTACTATGCAACAAAAAACGGAATCAGGTCGTAAAGAACTCTTAAATTTTCGACATTAAGGGTAATTCATCTGTTAGCCAGAGCCCTGAAGCGAAGGACAACCATTGAAACGGAGGGGAAGAGGGAGAAC